CCTTCATTCTGGCGAGTCTTTTCCGTTACCGATTTACTGCCACGAGGCTGAGGCAGCTCTTTGCCGGCAGTCATTAGCGTTTCCTGTCTACGTTTCTCATCTGTCGCAGCTGTAGCTCCATTTGTGGCTGCAGCTCTATATGTATCTCTAGCTGTATCTTTTTCTGTATCTGTGGTCACATTTGTATCTGTATCTCAGTCTGCATTTGCATCTGAAGTTGAATTAAAATTTGCAGATACTTTTGCATCGGTATCCATGTCAATACTTACTTTTGTATCTATAACTATAATTCCATATGTATCTGTATCTAAATTTAGTACTTGTATCTGCAATATGCGTTCATAGCTAGATTTCTATCTGAATCTGGGTCTATAGCTTTATCTGTAAATCTATATTTATATGTATCTGTATCTGCATCTGCAATCGTATCTGCATACCCAGCTACTACTGCATCTGTATCTGTAGCTGCATTTGTATCTCTATTCCAAATTTCCCTTAATATTATAAACATAAAAGATAAGAGCACACGCGCCAATTTCACTTCCAATTTTTATTTTAATTATATGCATACATGTATATTTATATGTATATATACATACACATATATATTCATATGATTATATTTGCCTCATTGCTGACTGCTTCAGAAAGCTGTTTTAAATCAATTTTTGCAGCTCAGCAATTTTGAACAAATTCATAAAATAGCAGAGGCATTTAAATGCCCAGCACCACGTGTTGAACTCGTACAGTAAACACTCGAATGCTGGGCCTAATCAATCGCAGATTGAGAATCATATCAGATTTATGTGTGGCCATATCTAGAAACACACATTAACCATAAAAGTGCCTCAATTTGTGCGGATCAACTTAGTGTGTGTTCACTGTACTATAATTTTTACAGATTATTATTAATCGTAAAATGTAATAAACGCAAAGCATATAAAATACAGATTATAATGTCTCGTACGGCAAGTCAAGCTCTCGCACTGTTCAGATACATGTAGATACTATATACATATGTGTGTATGTAAATTCATGTATATGTGTATGTATGTATGTCTACTGTTTATTTATCCAGTGTTTTCTGCTCGTTTTATGGCCACATTTGATGTTGGCTAAATATGTCCATTAATTACGCGCTATATCGTTTATGAGTAGTTCATAAAATTGGCTTTTATCGAGCTTTTTCGTGTTCTTTTCCATTTTTCTTGCTGCTTTTGTTTTTATTTGTATTTTTATGATAATTGGGTCATGCTGATATTTGTTAATTGCATATTAAATGACAGTGGGGCGTGGCAGCCGCCCCTGCAGCTCCAATGTCAGCACCGCCCACGGAGCACGGCCCTCAAATGTAGTCCGACTTCAACCACAACAAAACTGCAAACAACAAAAGTATAAAAAAAAAAAAAGATTATTATAAAATTAAAACCAGTTTGCATTTGATTTTTGCTTGAGTTAAATAATTCTATTTGAATTGCAACAGGCAGCAAACAAAACAAAAATACAGTGACAAAAGCAAGAGAGCAAGAGAAAGAAAAAAACCCATCGAAACGTTTGAATGAAAGACAACAGCGCTGACGTAGACGCTGACGCTGACGCTGACTGCAACGCGACGCTAGCAGCGACAGCGATTTGTGACTTGTTCTGTGGCGTTGGCAACGACAAGTTCACTTATTAATAAAAGTGTTTCAAATTCCAAATGCTAATTTCGAATTCGAATGAGGCAGATCCTTTAACAATAATAGCAGCAGGTTTAAAAATAATAATTTTATTTCAATAGCAGCGGCAGGTATAACAGTTGCAGCAAATTTAGCAGAACCAATAACTACAGCGATAGTAGCAGAAAGCTCAATGGCTAAACTTAACAGCGAGCGTTAGCACGATTTAGTCATTTAGCAGTGGAACGCCAGTAAGCCTAACTGCAATTGTACAGCTAGAATGTAGAGCTAACAGCAAAGAGCAGCGGCAGCGACTTTATGTTAAAGAAGTCACAGCCTTAACAGCCAAGGAAAGCTTAACAGTCCGCTTGTATAGCAGCAATAGCTGCCAATTTTAACAGTGTCAACAAATATGAAAATGTAAATGTAAAAATTTACTTAACAAAAAATAAATACAAATAAAACAATTGGCAGCACTTTTTCTTTTGTACAAGGTCAAAGTTTGTTAATGCTACATGTTGTTGGCGGCAATATTCAAAATACAACAATAGCAACAACAATGCAGGCAATACAAAAAATTATTCGAACGCAATTAAAAATAAGAAAAATCTTTTTAAATTACGTGATGATATTTTTGTTGTTATTTTCCATTGTTTGTTTTTGTTTCGTTTTCTCTCTTTTTTATTTGTTGTTTTTATTGTTGCGCTGTGCCAATTAATTTAAGAATGAAATCGAAAATCTTGGCATTCAGAGTTTTGGGCGTGGCAGTTTCTTTCTTTCCTTCGTTTTTTGTGCTCTGTGATAATAATTATAAATTTTTATTAAATCAAGAAACAAATATCTATTAAAAATATATTCATTTATACACTCATGTTTAATGTTCATAAATTAACAAATAATTTGCAATATAAAAATTATAAATGAATAGAAAAAAAAAAACGAAAAATCAAAAGAAAAATCAAATCACGTTTGGCAAACACACAAGTCGAGTATTACAGTTTTTTTTTTCTTTCTCTAGCTAGTATTTCCTATAGCTTTTCTTATTGGCAATCAGCAAGCGATCTGCCACGCCCCCCATCCGCACAGGCCCCTCTGCGTTGGACCATTCCTCATCTGTTGGCTGTTTATTTCGATTTTGTTTTTCTCAATTGTGGTCATTCTCGAAAATTGTTTTTGAGTACCGGACATGACGTCAATAAGTGGGCGTTTGTTTCAAATTTGTATACCACATACATCGTACATATATATACATATATCGTATATATGTGTGCTATACTTATGTAAAATTGAATCAATAAAGATCCATTGGTATTTGGTTGTTTCTGCACATTTCGTGTTGCCTATGCGAAACACTTATAATAATACTAATTCTCAAAGCTTTTTATTGCCCATTCGCTACAGGAATATATATAGATATATATGTATATATATATATTAATTTTCGGGTATAGTTAGATTTCATGTTTAGCATCGTTGGCTTCATTAATTTCCTGTATTTACTTATTTGTGACTCGTGCCACGCATTCATTAATAATACACAGCTGAGATGCTTTAAGTGTTTCCAAATTCATTTCGACATGGCCTACACATATTGCTACAGTAAGCACTCACTAGGCAATTCAATAAACTATATAGACGACGCTCTATTGGAATCAAGATCTGAGTTAATAGCATTACTGATATCAAAATTATTAGAAATTTTAGAACATTTTTTAGTTCATATTAATTGTATATAGAACAATAAGTTGATATAATCTTTTGTACCAAACTTTCTTCCAACCTTCCAAATAAACTTTACAACAAATCAATTCTTATTTTAGCTCTAAAAATGTTTATCTAATTGATGTAGATAGTACTTCTAAAACAAATGATCCATGTATAAATATAATTTCCATCAATGTCAGTCCTAATTCAGTTTTAGATCATTTAGTACACACCAGTGCTAAAACTAAACAAAAATTGCTTATGCGCAGCAATTCACTTTTCAATTTGAATAAAATTTGTATATACAAATTTGAGATCATTTTTTTTTAGTTCATAGCAAAATTTCGCTCTGATCAAATTCCAATTGCCATTGCAAAATAATATTATTCATTTTTTATATGGTTAAATTAACAAAAAAAAATTGAATGTGGCGCCTAAATTAATTTTATTTCAATTTTTACGAACTGCGGGAGTGGCTATAAAAGATAATGAAGATCATTTAGTTCACAGAGTGAGATGAAAGGTGATTAAAATACTAAAAGCAAAAGAAAACAAATTTCGTTAAGCACAAAAGCTCAAATATGGAATTGAGTAAAAAAAAAATCTGAATCAGAAACTTCAATTGCAGAGCTAAACAAAAAGTCTAGGCCAATTCTTAGGAATAGGCATTAAACTTGATACAGCGGGAGAAAAGCAAACAAAGCTACCCGCTCCAGATTAGCCAAAGTCCTAATTGGGGAGCTACAATCTGAGAAGATCGTAAATTCAAGGGAATTTTGAGGGTTTAGTACCAGAGCCAGACAGCGGGGAGAACAAATTAAAACAAACTTCAGAAGTAAACAATTAGCGGGGCAGCTGGGAGAAGTAGTAACCAAGAGATACCCTGTAAAAAGGGTGTATTGGTTGTGTGCTGTGGAATTTTGATTCGAAAAGTGCTAGAATATAAATATATATTAAATGTTGAGATATATGTTGTATAAGAAATGGAAATTATGTGAGTGCCACGCACAGAGATACCCTGTAAAATGTTTTTAGCTTATATCTTATGGAAATTTGATGGACAGATGTGAATTGTATATGATATCAAACGATAAGAAGCAATAGCAAAACAATATTTGAGAGTGATCTACAGCAAGATACCCTGTAAAATATAAGATATTCATAGGTGCATGTTGTTTTACTTTTTAAAGTGCACAACAAGATTGCCCTACGACATTTATTTATTTATTACAGGGTATCGCAAGTTTTTGCATTATGTTTACACAAGAGTCACGCCAATGGTTTTGACCTTTTTCTGGCGGGGTTTGAGCTGACCAAAGCGATGTTGTGCTTGTTCTTCGAGTTGTTTTTGTTTTTCGAATGTTTTTATTTTTTATATACATATATTTATGGCAGCGCAAGAAATTAATTATAAACAATGAGAAATATAAAGAGCAACAACAACAAATGTGGTTCGTGCCAAGCGAACCTTCGGTTGAGTTTATTAAATACATGTATATAGGTTATACTTGTATGTATGTATATAAGGCAGTTAATAAGAACGTGCTATTTGAAGGCAATGGCAGATATTTCATATACATATATATTTACACATACACAGTTAAACTAATTCACTTGTTTTCGCTTGTTGTTTTGCAGAAGGCAATCGGGCGACGGAACGTGCTAGGATGAAGGCAAATCGAGCCGATTTTGGTCACAGCAATTACCTCAAGCTCTATTGAGAGCTGAGCAGCAGAGGTAGACGAAGGTAGATAGCGATTGAGAGACCGGCAGGCAGCCAAGCAGAGCTAGGCTGGTGTTTGGAATTTTGGTTTTTTGCAACACTACATGGATCGCAGAAATGGCGGCGATCCCTTGGCGCCACCACGGCCCCCAAAGCTCCAACCGCGTGTGCATCGACCAAGGGCGCCGGAGCCAACAGCGCTAGGTGGTGGCAACAGCAGCAATAGCATCAGCAGCAACAGCAACAACAGTAGCAGCAGCAACAGCAGCAACAGCAATCAGCAACAACTGAGTATTAGCACAACAACAACTGCAACATCGACTATAAACAACAACAATAATAACAACAACAACAACAACAACCACATTATATCTATAATACCCACAACGGCCGACTTTGACGACTATCAGATACATCATCTGACATTTCTGCCGCAGCGACCGAGCAGCCTCAGTCGCAACAGCAGCAACGCCTCCTCCTCGACGGCCACGGCGAACAGCAGCGGCGGTTCGAGTTCCAGTTTCACGCGTCGACGACCGCCAGCGCCGCTGCTAACGAACAACAACATCAGCACACACAGTACGAGCAGCAACAACAACCACAACAACAACAWCAACTTCCTTAGTCATTTCCAAAGCGCTGAGCCCGTGTCTCTGTTGTCAACGGGTCAGCCGCCCGCCTCGCCCGTCACGCTGGCTCAACCGCGACCCGAATCCGAGAGGCTCACCAATGAGTACGTGGACACGCCGCTGCAGCATGCAACACGCAGCCAGCATCCGGCTGGGCAGCAGGACAACGGACAGACGACAACGCACCATTTGCTGCTGCTGCCGCAGCGACACCAGCAGCAACATGCAACGTCAGCGTCTGCAACGGCAACGGCAACGGCAACGGCAGCAGCAACGGCTGCAACAGCAACAGCGGCTGCCCATCACATTAATCGATTGGCGGCGGCGGCGGCGGGAACGGGAACGGGAACGGGAGTGGGAGCGACGTCCACGTCGACGTCGTCAGCAGCAGGCATCGATGGCTTATTACATTCGCATTTGCAACACATACCCGCGCACCACCAACACCACCACCACCACCACCACCAACCGCATCAGTTAAATGGCCAAACCAAAGCAACACCCGCCTCAAAGTTTGCACCGCCTGCACCACCGCGCTTAGGCTTCGCCGCAACAGCGGCGGCTGGACAGATGCAGCCACCCATTACCAAGCAGCCGGGCAGCAAGGAGCACATGCAGGAGCTGTTGCAGCAACACCAGCTGCAGCAACAGCAGCAGCAGCAGCAACAGATGCTGCCCGGCAGCGGCGGCCAGCTGGGCGCCTCGATAGTGATGGGCGGCGATCCGTCGCTGCTGAATCCGATTGTGTGTCCACGCTGCGGCCTGTGCCGCTGCGAGCAGTGCCAAAGCCCGCGCCCGCTGCCCCAGACATGGGTGTGCAACAAGACGTGCCTGTGCAGCGCCGAGTCGATCATCGACTATGCCTCGTGCCTGTGCTGCGCGAAGGCGCTGTTCTATCACTGTGCGCGGGACAACGACATGGACTGCGACGACGGCACCGGCACACCCTGCGTCGATAATCCCTGTTCCTGCGGCCCCTACAAGCGCACCCAGCGCTGGGGCTGGCTGGGCGCCCTGTCCATTGTGCTGCCCTGCCTCTGGTGCTACTGGCCCATGCGCGGCTGCATCAAGCTCTGCGAGAAGTGCTACGCCCGGTTCGCGGGACGCGGCTGTCGCTGCCAGGGCAACATCGGCGGCGACGCGGCCATTGGCTCCACCAGCAGCATGATGCCCATTGTGCCGCTAGCCGGCGGCGTCCTCAACAACAGCAGCGCCATCGGCTCCCCCAATGCGGCGCTGCAGGCCAATGGCAAAGGATTCGATCATGGCTGCAGTGCGGCTAGCAGAATTCTGCGCAAAGGCGATCTGACGCCAGAGAAGCGACTGCTCGACTCGAGTCCAGACTACTGAAGGCAAGGCAAATGAACGGAGGAGGGAGAGAGACAGAGAGCGTGAGCGCAAGCGTAAAGCGTGCGCGCGTTTTGTGCGCGTTTTTTGCCGCGCGTAAAAAACGCGACACAGACAGACAGCAGTTACTTGGAGAGCGGAGAGATTGTGGAGAGTGAGGAGAGCGTGTAGAGCTTCGAAATTTATTTATATGTACATATGTATATATACGTATATRTATGTATGTATGTATATGTATATATGTATGTGTGTACGCCTATATATACAAATTATTAAATGTATGACTTAAACATATGAGCCTATATATAATATATATATACGTATGTACATATGCACACGTCTGTATGTATATATGTATATATATATGCAAAACACAAAAATATTAACTGTATGGAAAAAAATAGAAAAACAAAAAAGAAAAGAAAAAATAAATAACCAAAGACTGCAAACAGATAATTATTAATTATTAGAAATGTTAAAAAAAAAAAAATG